AGTTATATGTTGAATCTTGTTCTGCAACAAAATAGCTATTCCGTAAGTCTTAGAGGGCAGACAAGGTCCTGGCACCCTGAACACTACATGTGCTGGCAAGAGTCTGCAGGGCCAGCCCATGGTCCTGAGATGTCAGACATGTGAAAAGAAATTATTAGCTCTCTTGAAAATAGTAACCAAAAACCAGAAAAGTAATTTAGTAAGTAAGGAAATGTGTGGAGAGTTTCCCCATTGCTGTCTAGAATATCATTAATCCAAATTCAACAGAATTGTAGAGTTTCTCTTCATCTCACACATGGTGTTTTCCACTGAGTGTATAGGAAAGAATATGCCCTTTTATATTACAAATATGTATTTTCTTCTCTCTTTTTCCTCTGTCTCCCCAAGATCATTTAGGAAAAATATTTTTTCCTGCAAAAGACCTCATAAAATTATTATTAATACTTACATTTGTAATTTTAAAATCGTTGAGTGGAAAAAATGAACAGCATGCAAGTAAAACACTGTGTGGGATAAATGCTATTTAAATCTTGTCTGAGCTGTTAAACATCACACTAACATTGGATAGCTGAATCTAATCCAGAAAAAAAATAAAATAAAAAAGAGAGGTCACGTTAGAGAACTGAGCCATCTGTCCAGAGTGGAATTTGAAAGGCTTTTGTAATGGATTAGTTTTTTATATTGCTGTCTTTTGGGGAGCCTTTGTGTGAATCAAAGCAGAGTTACCAGACCATTTATCTACAAAGATGGTTCCTGAGTTTTTCTACCTTGTCACCCTGATGTTTTAGTATGAAACATTTCATTTAGCATTTCGCATAACTAATTAGTCCCTTATAAACAGTATTTTCTAACTGGCTTCAAAGGTGTCTTCTCTGTTCCAGGCATTGTTCCCCTAATATGGACTCAAGGATTTATTTATATGCTTATTGGCAGAATGGCAGAGAGATGTTTTCAAAGAATATCTCTGTTGCTTTATTCTACTGTTGATTTTTCTGCATGTTCATAACAAGGCTTCATTTGGAGTGTAACATTTTGAACTAATTTTAATCTTTGCTAGTGTTCATGAAATAGATTGTTGTGGTTTGACTTTTGCAGTATTAATGTGACATGCTTGTAGAAAAAATAATTATTTAGAGTGTTGGCAGCCTTGGAATGCATCTCATGTCAGGTCTGATCTTCCTGGCTGTTTTAGTTGCATGTTGCATACCCCAGAATGATCCTATTTATCATTTTTTAGGTTTGACTTTTGCAGTATTAATGTGACATGCTTGTAGAAAAAATAATTATTTAGAGTGTTGGCAGCCTTGGAATGCATCTCATGTCAGGTCTGATCTTCCTGGCTGTTTTAGTTGCATGTTGCATACCTAAAACCTCCCTAAAAATCATGAATCTGTGTCGTGAAGGAGAGAAAGAAGAGGAGGGGGGGGGAAAAAAAAGGAGGGGGAAGTTGGTACAAACCTGCTATTAAAGCTTCTTTAAAAATCCTCCCTGTGACCAGTAAAATTACATTAGCAAAATTGCTTTAGTATTTGATCTGGTGTAGTGATTGGAAGTCCTGTTGGTCGAGTCTGTTCTTTCCTGACTGGGATGCACACGGGGCTGGATTAGGATGCAGGTATTGATGAAGTTACTTGAAGCTTTTTTGGATGGAATGGGACTAGCTTCACGTGTTGCTGTTTTAAAGTGTTAGTGTATTGTCTGTTGAGGCTTAGAAGAGTAAGTGCAATGGAATTCTTTCTATAAAGGGTTCAGATCCTGTGCTGCAATTGAATATGGGGATGTACAGGGTCTGGTCATTTGCAATCTGGCTCCAGACCTTCCTGAGCATCCTTTGCATGACAGAGAAGCTCTGGGAGTGGAATTTTTGTCTAGACACTACTCAGCCCTTGTAAGTGGAACAATGCCTGTTCTAGGGCAAGAGGAGAAGCTACTACCATATCATTTCAGCTTCTGTTTGAAAATTCCGTCAAGTATTTTTTTCTTAAGGTTAAGATATGCCAAGTATTGGAGCAAATCTATTTCCATTTACTTTTTGCTGCTTTGTGTTATTACTCTTGGGTTTGTAAATGCTTGTTCCAACCAGCATCTTTTGTAAGTAGGAGAGAGCTGAGATGTGGTAAGGATGTTAAAAGTTAGAAGTGTTTATTGGCAAAGTAAAATTAGACTTTTCTCCATCCTGAAGTGCTACGCTTCTCTGAGGCTTTAGAAGAGGTTCTGTAACATAAATAGGAACTATCATATTTTTGAGCTAAAACTGATTGGAGAGATGTGTAATTTGTGTCTCTGCTTATTTTGGTGCTAAATTAATGTATTTCAGTTCCATAAAATAAGTTCCAGACAGTAGCTTTTTTTCTCTGACCCTCTTTCCAGACAGCCTCAGGAGTGCACTTTATCTTATCTTTATCATATGTTCTTTGGTTTTCTCTCAAGTCATCACCAGTTACACTTTTACATTACTTTGCTGCATCTGATTTATCATATCCATCCCTTTGCAAGATGTTTTACCAGATGTCCTCTCTGAAGGGCATATCTATAGAAGAATTTTGCCTCAGATTAGGTTGTTTGTCATTTCGTGTTTGAGGTTGCTGTATAGTCAGGCTAATTTACTAATTATACATGCATCTTTGAAGGATCCTTCTGTTCTGATGAGCCCTCAGGAAACCCTGGTGTCTACTTGAAAAAAGGCAAAGGGGCAAAAAGATGACATGTGCATCAGTGCTCTTTTATTGTATTTGTTTTGGATTTTCTCTGGCATTCTCCTGACTGAGAAGAGAAGGAAAAGGCTACCTTTGTGGAGGGTCCTGGTAGAGTGGCTGAGCCTTGCAAAAGAAATAGTGGGTTTAATTTTATTTTTATTTTTTTGTCACCTAATCTGTGAAGAGTGGTACAAAGTTAAAAGGCTTCTTAGCCCAAAGTGTCATTGTAACTCTTAAGTTCTTTTAAAAGCAGGTTCATACAAATTAGAAAGTTTCTCTTTTGCTGTATATGTGATGTAGCTTAAAGGGAAGACTCTTCACAAGATCCCTGTGAATCCCCACTGTTCTATCTGGCACTGCTCACGTAGTACAAGGTGCCAGTTGGGCTTGAGTCAAGTTTTGAGGCACATGGTCAAGACAAGTTTTACATTTAAAAAGCAATCATACCTAAGAATGATTTGGATAATTTATTATCTCCAACCAGCCCTGGGATTTTTCAGAATGACACAAGCAGATTAAATGCCCAAGTCCACCTGTTGTTTGTATGATTTAAGATTACTTGAATTTTCCTTCCTTATTGCATATAGGCTGTGTCAGAGGCTTGTTTTATGCAACTTCATACTTGGTTTGTTGTTTTTTTTTAACTTATTATTGCACAAAACTTGGGAAATGGGAAAAGTTATTCAGTAATCATGGTGTGCAAGGCTCTGAGACACATTCCTAACCACAGAGATCAAGAAACACAGGATCTCTCCTTGCCTGCTTCTCATCAGTCATCTCTGTTCACACACAAATGATACCTGAGTTCGTTTGCAGAGCCTGGAGTAATTGCATTTATCAAACGATATAACTCTTGTGCTGTATATATATAAAAGAAAGTATGGGATCCAGCAGTGCTTACAATTAGTTAGGTGTGTATTGTTGATATGTTGCTTATTCATCCTCAAGTCTTACACCTCTCCTCTTTTACCATTCTAAGGAAGTTCTTGGCTTATGGGTGTTTTGGTTTAGTTTATCAGCAAGCAAGCTGTTAATGAGTCATGTAAGTGAATGGGGGAGCTTGTTACTGCACAATGACAAGTGTGGATTAAGACTTTTATGCAAAATGGATTTTATTTTCTTTTTTCTGAGGATTTTTAATCCCTTGCAAAGTAGCAACTGGAGCATAGCACGTCATGAGGTTTTGGGGTGTTTTTTTTAGCAACTAACAGTAGAACTTAATAACTTTGAAGAGCAAAAATTCAACATTTTTTTGCCTGCATTTAAGCAGGTTAGAGGGAAATAATTAGATTTTTCAGTTTTATTGTTAATCTAACCAGATTTTTCCAAAATCCTTTTTCTGAATACATATGTGGGCTAGCATAAAGGCAGTTTTCTCAATAAATTCATTAATGAATCTATGATCAGGTTGCAGTTTGCAGACGCATCTGATAACAGTAGTGCCCACTCTTCTTCTGCCTCCTTGAGAACTGGAGACAGTTTCAAAGGACAGAGTCATGCACAGATGATATAGTCACATAAACTCTGCTAAAGCAAGTCCTGTGCATTTTAATGTGTCCAGAGAAGTGGCAGAAGGCTGCAAGACAAGCTCATGGGAACATGTCCAGGAAAACAAGATCTCAAAAGGAAGTTTTCACTGTTAATGGATATCAGCTCTTAATACAGTACCAGGGAACCCAGGCAAATGTACACCAGGTCACTTGGGCCTGCATGAACAGAGGGACTATACCCAGCAGGAAGGGATGTTATTTTACCTCTGTGTTTGATCACCCAAGAGAAGCTCCTGGAATGTGCCTGCGAATTTCAGAGTCACCAGCGTGCAAGATCAGTGGAAAAAGATAACAAAATTTTAAAAATCAACTTCAAAAACGTCAGGGGAAAAAAGTGCCCCAAGTCTGAAGAGTTTGATGAAGCCTCTCTCTGTTTAGTTTATCAAAGAGAGGGTGAAGGAGGTGACAACCTATGAATTCTGACCCTGGAAGAGTTATGTTGGTACTGTATCCTTCACTCCCCCGGATGCAAAACCACAGAAATTCAATGGCAAGAGTTTGAGGCTGGCAGCTTTGTCCTGAAAATGAAGTGAGTGCATGTTTTTTAGGGCAGAGTAATTAATTTTCAAAGCCACTTACAGAGGGCTTGGGGATGTTTCCTCTTACCAATAACTTTCTGAATTATGCTTGCATGCCTTTTTGAAGAATATACAGGTGTCAAAGAGAAATGAATCCATCAAAGTCCTGTGCACATTAGCAAAAGGAGTAAGTCTGAGTCTGTGTGTTCACTGGGTGGTTTTGGTTTGTTTGGTAGATACGTTGATGATGTGATCAATCGGATTGATAGGATGTTCCCTGAAATGTCTATCCAGCTGTCCCGGCCAAATGGAACCTCTGCAATGCTTCTGGTAAGTTGGATCATTTAATCACTTGAGATGGATTTCTTAATGGGAGCATATATCCTAAAATGCAGGTTATTTATTTGGAAACATACCATCCTTCATTCATCACAGCAGTGTGGGAACTTTCTTGCTCTTGGGCATATGAGTGATAAAAAGAATTTCACCTTTAAACAAAAGATCTATACTATAAAAGATCAATTACTTTTTATTATTAAACATGATGGTAGAAATATGAGTGCAACCCCAAATATTCACTGTGTTTTTCAGCAGTCTTGGCAATGAGTGAGTCTTAATCATCATAATTAAGAAAGGGAAGGTGGTGGGAGGAAGGAAAGGAAGAAACCAATATGATTTAAATTTGTTCAAATTGTTCTTGGGTCACTGAATTTCTGTTATATGATGAACTCAAGAATTTGCCTTTGAAGTAAATGAGCAGTAAAGGCTGAATTAGAGATAAACAAGTCCAATACATTTGACTTATTTCTGCCTGACCAAGCAAGATTCCATTCCAGAAGAGCCTATTGTTCACATCAGTTTGCACAGGCAGCTGCTGGGCTGATAGCAGAAGTCTTGTCAAGCTTTTACACTAAGATAGCAACATGGAAAGTGGAGTATGTAGCATGGCAGTTGGATGCTGATTCTCCTCTAGGAGGGTGGAAGGCAGAATTCACATATTTTGCCAAATTTTGAATAAAACTAGAAAATACACTGTATATTCAGGTCAAGAACTGAGACCAGATCAATCTTTTCCTTCTCAGATTTCCCATGGCACTTCCTCTTATTCCTTCCCTTTCCCACACAGGCTGGTACAAAAGGCTGTGTATGTGTGAGTTTATTCCAAGCGAATGGTAAAGTGAATCTGAAAACTGGATATTTTGTCAAAACAGAATCGTTGAGTCAACATTAGGGTCTCTCCTTAGGTTTTATATTTGGGTTAGTATGTTGACTTTAAAACACTATTACGTTTAGATTTTTACCAGTATTTTTCAAAGGTTCTGTTGATTTCTCTATAGTAAGTAGAGCTGTGATTATATTTAGTTTTAATTAATCAACTGTCTGGCATCCCATTATTAACTTTCTTTGAACAGCCCCAAATTTGCAAGATATGAACTGAGTCAGAGGTTAAAGTAAACAGCTGGCATTAAAACATTTAGTCTGTAATTGTTGGATTCACCAAGTGGAACAATATATTCCAGAAAAGAATAGAATTCATCAGTGCAGTCTTAAGAAACAATAAGTCTTGGAAGCTTTTGCATTTCCTCTTAATCTGACTTTGTTTTGTAGCTATTTTGTTATAGAAAAATGTCTGATTTTGGTTCCTTTGAAACCCATCCCATTCTCTTAGAGTCCCTCTTTGCACCCAGTAAGTACCTTCCACTTCTACTGGCTTTTTGAGGTCAGAAAATAGATGATGGTTTTTGAGATTTGGGCATAATTAGGAAATGAGGTAAATTAGCTTGGATGTGACTGATTAGGAGTAAGATAGGCTGGAAGGATGATAACTGTAAAATAAACCTCTTTTATAAGCAGTAATAGCTGCGTGAGTTCCACATTGCAGTTGCTCTTCTAAATCAGGGACATCATGGTTGCTACAAGATAGCAGCCCTGCACTGAACCAGTGGTGTGCATATTTTCCTTGGATCAGAGATCAAAAAGTTTGTTTTTGAAGTATTTTGGTATGTGATTGTGTGATGGGTTTATCATTTTTTCTTTTAGGCAGGCTTTCTCTCTTCCCCATCTGTCTCAGTTGATGTTGCCAATATGGCACTTTCCATCTGGCCTTGACTGCTACAAAAGCTTGTGCTGTTTTCAGCTACAAATCATTCAGTGAAAGGTGCTGCAGGATGGGCAGTGTGAAGAGCACCTCCCCCAGAAGGAGAGACGTTTCTCCAGTACTTGTGATTTCTCACTCTGAACTTATCCCAAGTTAGGTTTGGCATTGCTCCCTTGCAGCAGGGAGGTTTCCCACAGTACCAGTGGATTCAGATAATGCTTCTTTTATTTAAAAATATTTCACAACTGTGCTGTTTGCCCAGTTCTCATTAACTAACTCTGTAATCTTAACCATTTTCATCCTTGGACTGTTCATACCATATCTCTCATTGCTTCTGAAGATCTTTGACACAGAGGTCTACTTGTTACATTAAAACATCTTCAAACACAATCGTTCCATTTATCAGAAAAAACCCCAAACCATTAATTAATCTTCAGAGGCACTGGGAAGCAGTGTACATGTTTTTAAAATGTGGAGGTGATTGGAAGGAGATGGAGAAGAAGGGGAAGGGAGTGTTTGTGAGATTCTTTGAAGGAAACTTAAGAATAGCTGGAGACTTTGTCAAAAAAAGCATCTTCAGAAAAAAAGCCTCATACAGAAAGCTTTACCCCACACTTTATATGCACGTGGACATCCATTTATAGCCCTTAGCAAATAGAATCCTGGGAGGCATTAAGAACAGTGTGCAGCAGGTCCAGGGAGGTTCTCCTCCCCCTCTACTCTGCTCTAGTAAGACCATATCTGAAGCGTTGTGTCCAGCTCCGGGCTCCCCAGTTCAAGAGGGACAGGGATATGCTGGAAAGAGTCCAACAGAGACTACAAGCGTGATTAAGGGACTGGAACATCTGTCATATGAGGAAAGGCTGCAAGACTTGGGGCTGTTTAGTCTTGACAAGACTGAGAAGGGGACCTTATTACTGTCTATAAATATCTGAAGGATGAATGTCAAGAATGGGTCAGTCTCTTTTCAGTGGTGCCCTGCGATAGGACAAGGGGAAACAGCACCAAGTGACAACACAGGCAGTTCCACCTCAATATAAGGAAAAACTTATTTCCTGTGAGGGTGACAGAGCCCTGTGACAGGCTGCCCAGAGAGGTTGTGGAGTCTCCTCTGGAGACTTTGAGAGCCATCTGGACACATTCCTGTGTGACCTACCCTGGGTGTTCCTGCTGCAGCAGGGGGGTTGAACTCTGATCTTCAGAGGTCCCTTCCAACCCCTGTGATTCTATGGCTTCCATGGTCTGAGGTTTCTCCAGTGTTTCAAAAAGAATAATTACCAGCCTAACTCTACCAGTGAGTAACCTTTGTGTAAAGCTGGGTTCTCCCTAACCAAGGTGCACACATAAGCTGAGAACGTTAAATAAAAAAATAAACTGTTCCTGAGACCATAAATGCTGTGCCTTGAAGGGTTGCCACCTCCTAGTCCTTTGAGGTTATTGCTTCCTCCAGACAATAGGAGATTTATTTTTTTTTATGCTTTAGATTTATACACATAAATTGTACCTCATTAGTCTGGATTTATGCTACACAGACCAAACACATAAATAATTGAAACCTTTCAGAGCTGGGTGAAATCCTCGACTGATTTTAAAAGCAGTTTATCATGTCTTTTCAAGGTGCTGTTTAATCCCAATTCTTCACTAGTGATTTTTTTTCACTTAATCTTTTAATCACGCCGTGCAGAAAAAAAGACTTAAACGTAGAATTATATCAGCTTGAATAACCATGTTATGCAAAATGAATTTCCAGGAGCAGCAGAGGGAACTGTGGACTCCTTAAGGCTTTTGTGGGGCTTTGTTGGCCAAATGCCAGGAGCTGCAAATAGGTAAACTTCAGCTGCATGTTAAGAAAACATGAACTGATTTTTTAATGAATGAAAAATACCTAGATTTTTGCCTTTTTTTTTGAATGATTAATTGAATTCCTAGAGATACGTGTTTTTTTCTACTAAAATAACTTGATCGTGGTGTTTTTTTCATGCATCTTGTTTCTGTGATCAAAATTCAGAATTATATTTTTTTCAGTGGGAGAATATTCCTCTGTGTAATTCATTCATTCATACATTAATATCAAAAGTATTTTAGAAAAAAGGAAACGTTAGCCCAGCTTTTCCAGTTGACAACTAGGACTGACTTGGTGTTGTCAGTACTTACCCAGTCCTAGTCAGGTGGAGTAACTGATTTTCTTGTCTTCATCTGGGAACTGATTTGCCTAAAATAACCTGTCTCTCCAGTTTGTTAAGCTAAATAAAAGCACTACTATGGAAGATACAAACTGGGTAAATATTTTTACATATAATTGAATAGTTTCCTGTAGTTTGTAAGTCTGTTATACATATAATTACAAAACAGCTCAATTTAAATAATCAAATTGTTTCTGCCAAACCAGAGCTCACTGCAGAAATAATTACTTCTTTTCATATTTTACAATTTTTTTGTTTATAAATTTTCAAAATTTATATTGATGTCTAGATGTTTAATAGATCTCTCATATAAAAATACAAATGTCTGCAAATGATGTCTGCAAGACCAGACATCATTTTAATCTCTGTAAAATTCTTGCTGTGTTATAATTTAGAATGGGAAAAGAGGCAAGTCCATCTCATTATCTGTAGTAATGCTGGACAACTGGCCACTGGCAAAATCTGTCTCTTAACCTTTGAACAATATCCTGTGCCAGTTTGCACACCTTACTGAGCAAAGATGCCATGTTACCAGGGGAGAGGATCACCAGCTCATCCCTCATGTGGCAAAATCATTTAAAGTCCTTCATTTATGTTGACTTCTTATCTTGCACTATTGCAATTAGGTTGGACTAATGAAAGGTAAATTCCAGCCCTCACATAACAAAAGGAATCCTTGTACAAAACCTAATTAGTATGTTTATTTATTTAAACTCTAATGGCTTAATTGCATCTTATCTTGCTATTTACAAATAGGCATCATTAAAGAATAACGAGCATGTGAGGGAAAGCACAGGATTCATACCAGCAGCAGATGACACATAGGGAAGAAACCCAATTACCTGGAAGTCTAGGTGGGATTTTTATTTATTTTACTTTTTTATACAAAACCTTATTTTGTCAGTGCATGAAAATATGATTTCCAGGGATTGCATGATGAGTAAGATCGATGCGTGAGTGGGAGGACAAGCTTAGGGCTGGCTATGTGGCAAGGAGCAGGTGTCTGGCCTTTTGCTGGAAATATGTACAGCTTGGCTACATCTCTGCTTTGATGTTGCCTTTTTGTTTTCTAAAGTGAATAAAAAACGCCTACAAACTTGTGGCCCTTTTTATACAAGCCAGTGAGGTGCCCATGTTAACTGAAAACAGTGTTTTCTTTCTTTGAGCTCTGCATTGCAGAGCGTCTGCAGCTCAAATCAGCAGCAAAATCCCTGGGATGCTGAGAGGAAATCTGGAGCTTTGGGAATTTTTTTGCAAAGTGGTGGAGCTTGGTGGTGTCAGCATATGTGTTCCTGACATCTCATTTTTAAATAAATTTGAAGAAAGAATGTTTGTTAATGCAACTTAAAAAATTGTTTATAAAAGGGCTTTCTGTGTGTGGAGGAAAAATTAAAGGGGGGGCGTTTCAAGCTATTTCCTCCAGGCAGAAATTCTGGCATGGTAAATTAATTTTGATCCTTTTCATTTTGTAAACTAATTTTAACTCTGTTTCTGACTTATTAGGAGAGGTAATTATTTCTTTTCCAATTACAAGTGATGTTAAATGGGAACTTTTTCAGCCAGAAATTATCTAAACCATTCTCACTGCTTGTTCTGTTTCCCCCTCCCCCTTTCTTGGCACACAGTATCTGTCATATGCTCTTTGAGAATTATCTTGGTGATAGACAAAATATTTTTAAAACTGGGATATTTCAAGAAGATTTTTTTTATTTTCTGTATCTTTGTCAGAAAAAACTGCATAATATTGCAGATTTCAATCAGCTGCCTGTCCTACCTTCTTCTGGAGCTTGCCATTTTAGGAAGCAGGGGATTTATGAATAACTTCACTGTCTGAATTTAGTCTAGTTAAAAGGAAGTTTGAAGTACATTGTTATTACACAGACCTAAAACAGAAGGTACAGAAATATTTAACTTGCAACTGTTCCACTTTCAGCACACACAACTGTGGGGCATATTTTTTCATTCATATTAATTGAATTTTAAAGTGACCTTGTACACGTATTGATTTGAATTAAAATTTTCTCCATCAAGGACGAGTTGGCATCTCTCCTTCAGGCAAAATATGAAAAAGCCAAGTGCTGTCTTAACAGGATATCGACAGAAGAAGTTGAAATTTAATAGAGAAAGTTGGCTTAGAAGGGAAATTGTTGCCTTTTTGTCACAATTGAAAGGTACCTTTTCTGTGTAACGGAAGAAGTTTCTTGCAGTTGATACCTGTGGAAATTCAGGGACATTTTAGCAACCGTTAAATAAGGACCATCTGGGTGAGTCTTGACCTCCAGAAGGAGAGACCTGCACTGCTGGAGCTCAGAGTAGAACTATCAAATTCCTTTTTTACCAAAACCATTAGTTTTTTATTACCTTCTTTCAAGTGACCTGTAAGGACCCAGTTGTATGATGATAGGTGTAAATTATATTCCATACATAGATCTTTCCTGAACATGGACTTCAAGTTGAACAGGCATTGAAAGAAAATGGTTTGCTGGAAAACACGATTTGTAAAAATACAACTGTGCTGAAGAAAAACATTAAGTCCTGAGAACAGTGACAAGTCTTGACTATTAGAGGCAAAAATGAAGGGTATCCCATTTAGTGTGTACAACAAGGAAAGTGCTTTACCCCGAAAATAGCTGTGGAGCATACTTTTGGCTTCCAAATCTTAACAGCATCCTCCAATCTAGTGACAGGCTGTTGTTCATTCTTTGTAGTACTAGCCTCATTCTTTCAGTGCTGTTAAAATGATGAACTATAATTTCTCTGAGCTATGCTCAGTTCTACAAAGTTTTTGCTTCTGTCAGGCTTAACTAATGATACAGTCCTGCAAAAATGTTGTGGAAATCCCAATCTCTCTTCTAGCTGGTGTAAAACCTGCAGGAATCCCATGTCTAAACTAGAGTGACACAAAATATGAAAGTTTTCTGTGCTAAATCCAAAGTTGCAGTGTATTCTATGGGTCACTTGTATTACCATGGCACCTGGCTGCCCTTGCTCTGGGAGGGGACCTCCTTGTACAAACCATTGTGTGAATTGAGATTGCAACAACAGTGCCTTCCTCAGGGAGCTCACCCATCTAGGGATGGTTTTACGCAGCTCCTTACACATGCAGGAGGCAGCGTAATCCTGTTTTTTTGACATTAAAAGTGGATGATTGAGGCTGCTGTCCCAGACCAGTCTGCAGAATTTGACCTTTAAGCATTGGGTGATGGATGGTAGCTGGGGTCTGGGTAGCTGTGACGGGTTCTGAAAGTGTGGCATGAATCATTGGAAGGATATGAAAACAGATGATCTGGGAAAAGGCAGTGAGCTAATGCAGAAGCATTCTGAAAACATTTGTGCCAGTGTGGGGAGGTTTAAGGCCAGAATAAGTATATTCAAGCAAGCTAGAGTGCCAAATGGGATTTTTCAGCTTGTTGTGTTCCCCTGTTCACTGTGAGGATTTTCAGGAACATCCCACACAGGCTTCAGATAAACTTCACCCATTCTTCTCCACCTGGCAACAATGAGAAGTACCATGAATGCAGAACTTAGGAGAAGAAGTGAGCATCCACTGAAGTTTGTGAAGGCAATGGAGATAAAAAATATGACTCGTCAGGCTGGATCTGGGTGTTTGCAGGGCAGCCTTTTTGCTCTCCCATTCTGAAGATTTGTTTTTGTCTGATATATCAGATTTTCCTCCTTTTAATTTTACTATATGAATGATGCCTAATGTGAAGTTGTAAGAGTCAGTTCTCTCAGCAGACCTGTATCCTAGCAAAGTGCCAGTCTGTCTAAGGTAGGGGAAAAAAACCCAACAAAAACTGTTAACTCTAAATGTGCTGACAACTTTGTAAAAAGTGACTCCATTTCCTCATCTCAGCAGTTAGGACCAAACTGTCTTTCTGATTCCAGTGGATGATCAGCATCATAGAGGGGGCACCTCTGGGTCATGATTTTATATTTTTAAGTTAGTTGATACAGTGGTAGGTGCTGAAATAACTATATTTGCAGACCAACTAGGTCTAATTACACAGTACCTGTTCTTTTGACCTGCTTTTACTCTTCATGTTCTTGCAAAATTATACCTAGCAGCCTGTCTTGAAGTCTTTCTGTCTTAACTCTTTATGCCCTTCTTGTATCCCTGTTCTCTCTTTTGCTGTCAGCTTGTTCTTCCCTGTTATTTAGACTTCTCTCCCAAAGTTCCTTTCTCCATGTACCATGGCACGAAGTTGTCATCAGTTCCTTTCCGGATTTGTAACTCTGTCCTGCTTTATAGTGATAATAATAAGCAATATTCACAGTAGTTTGGGTAATTGTTCTGCAGAGTTCCATATTGTTACCCCTTTGCTACCATCATTTTCCCTCCTAACCCTCCTCCAGCTTTGAGATGGAGTTTTTGTGCCAGGTTTTCCATCATCCTCCTTGGGGGAAAAGCATCTTGGCCCTTCAGAGTTGATTTACCTGTTAGTTTCTTAGTTAGTCAGCATCAGGTTAAGGATACTCAGCTAGAAACAAAGTGGTAGATAGGAGTCATTAGCAGGAGTTAAAAGGGAAAAACATGTAACAAATCAATGAAGATGCATATTGACTGATTTTTTGGGGGGAGGGTGTGGGTTTGTCTGCTGAGGTTAGCAGTAAAAACACACTTGTTCTAGCCTGGGTTAATCTATACTGGACAAAATGTTGGAACACACAGTGGAAAATGAGCTGCTGCTGGTTGGGAAATAGTAACGTGAACTAAATGTTTCTTTTTTAATCTCAGTTTTATGCTTTTGTGGGTGAGGAAAAACTCTGTGTAGCAAAACAAAAAGAGAATTATTATTAGGCACACATCTTAACAATATTGAAGTGCAGCTTCATCTTTGAAATGTAAATTGATTTTTAGATTAAAATGCCTTCATTATTGTTTTTTTTTTGTCAATAATATAATTTAGGCTTATTTCTGTTGCTATACTCTGACTGACCCTATATATTTCCCATTATACTGTTTTATTCTTTACACTTTACCAGTTTCACAGAAGAAAATTAGACCTTTGAAATGGTAACATTTTTACTTTTTAGCCATAGTTTCCCCTTAAGTAATTTTACATTTTGCTTGGATCTAAAATGTGTTCCATTATACTCATGATACGATTTTAAAAGCTAGCCTTGGAGGAGGAGGATTCTTCTTTAAAATTATTTTGCTCTAAGTGGACATACATTGGAGAATATCAAGCACATCAAAAATAATCACATTTGCTTATTGTTTTTGACAAGTTATTGAGTTGTGGTGTTAATAAAATTGAGAGGGTTGCTTGGCAGTGTCATGTCTACACAAGGGAATTCTGTGAATTCATACATTTTCAGTTGCAAATGAATTCTTGTTTGTTCTGCACTTTATAGTCTGTCTCTTCCTCATAACACAGAGTGGTTTTAGATCTTTTATTTTGATTTGTCTATAAAATATTGAAAACAGAAATAGTATCAACTTAAGCTGTTCGCTCGACAGTCTTGTGAATTCAGACACCATCGACTCTCCCTCCTTCAGCTTGTGTTTGTCCTTCTCCTGTTCTTCACAGGTTACCTTAGGAAAAGTGTTAAAAGTGATCATGGTGATGAGGAGCCTCTTCATTGACCGGACAATAGTGAAGGGCTACAATGAAAACGTCTACACTGAAGATGGCAAGGTATGTTATTGTGTATCCGGAAATACTACAGTTGAATTTTACCTGGCATTGAAAAGACAGAGAACAGGAATCCCATCTCAAGTATGCTAGCAATAGAAAACTGTCAGAAGTCTTTGGATGTTTTGCAAAATTCTCAGGTTTAAATTTATCATGCTTTGCTTGGATTTTTCATACCTGAATGTCTGACTTCTTTTTAAGCTCTGAAGCCCTTGCTTGAATTTCTAATTTATCACCTTAGACCCCCATTGCCTTGTTAATAATGTCTACTGAGAAAACATTTTTTCAGTTTACCAGCACATCAATAGCCCAAGGTTCAGATTTCGCTTTTCTCAGAACCACTGGGAAATCTTGGGCCAGTTTTAAGCTCAACTTGATAAACATAATGGTGTGAATTATTGGTAGGTAGTCCTCAATAATTGGCTTGTCAGTAATAGCACATCTTGAACAGCAGCTATTAAATCAAGTGTTACCTGTTTCCACAAGTGATTTATGAACGATTCACCCTGCTTGAACCCTCAGATTCCACCCGACTGCACATGCTCCATGTGGTTCTCAGAAGATGTTAATGGGACCTGACGGCCTTGGGCTCAGCCTCATCCCTTTTCAGGGTGGAATGGTCTCTCTTACTGAGACATCCACCAGGATTCTCCTTTGCCAGTAACAGTACTAAACACCTCCACGTTTCACATCTTCTCTCTGGAGTTTTCTCTACTGATTATGAAGCCCATTAAAATACAAAAGTTCATTATATTGAGATGAGTACTTGGCACCCATAGGCCATGTCGTAATTAGGTGAGATTTTTTTCCTTTCAAAAGTGAGAACTGTGGCTTTAGCACACAGAAGCATGATGTGTGCTGACCCAGAGTTCGGTGGCTCTGAGTCTGACTCTCCATTCCCTAGAAAAGGCCAGGAGCTGATCTGTTGAAGGAAACGGCACAGCTGCATTTCCCAGGTGAGAGATCCTCACTGGAGTGGGCTAAGAAGCAGTAAAATAAAAAACTGCCTGATTTTGATCTGCAGATAGGCAGGTTTAAATACCACTTTGCTGCAGAAGCAGCTGCTCTGCTCTCCCTGTATATTAGCATATAGATACAGACCTATGGCACCAGCCCCTCTTCACCCCAAGTTCTGCTTGGGTGTGAAGTGATAGTCTGCCTAAAGAGCGGTGACAGTGCTTGATGGATTCCTGTGTCACGCTTGGTTTGGGTGTGCTCATTTTCTCTGATGGATCCAGTTTCCTTTGAAGCTCCCTCGAAATACAATAATGCTGTATGTGCTGAAAAGCTGAGGATAAGAGCTCCTTTGTGAAACTCAGCATCTGGTCTGTGTTTAGCTCCAGGGTATCTCTCTTGAGATCCTTATACCATTTCTCTGTCATCATTTGCTGCCAGGGGGAGTGCAGGAACCACCACGGCCAGCTTTGGGCACGAGGCACTAACCTTTGTCTGCTGTCAGTGGGGAGCAGTTTAGCTTCTCCAGAGTATCAGTGCTAACACCTGGCTGATTTTCTTGCTCTAAGCCAATCTGCAGGGGAGTCTGTTTTCTACCAGTTTAGCGTTCTGTGTCCAAAGCTAAGTTATGTGACTGCTCCCACAAAGCTGCATGAACCTGTGACCTTTACATGGCACTTAGCTATTCCATTGGGCCATCCCAAACCTGAAGGTCTGTGCCTGTCACAACAGATGCTGTTGGGAATGTACTCCAGTGAGGTTTCACCATACCATACTATCTGAGCTTCTCAGTGTCTAGCCTGATAGAGAGAAAAATGCACTGGAGTTCAGAAGAGACACAGAAGAGTATGAGAAAGGACATCAGCAAGTATAATCTTGACTAGATAACAAAAATATGGAGAACCCTCAGAATCACAGTAGGAGGTGGTAGTTTTTCCAGTGAACAATTTACACAGTAATTACTGCTTTAATGGTTAGCTTTTGTATTCCTTGGAAGCGTTTAATATTTGTAAACAGCAGCAATAAGATTAAGTAGGTGGTATCACACAATATGGCAGTTTTGAAGCTCCTGTCTTTTCTGGAATCCATGTTGTAGAAAGGACACTGGGGAAGTTGTTGTGCTTCTTTACACTTAAATAGCTGAATGAGGATCTATTGAGACATCCTCCTAACTGCACAAGTCATAAAGTCCTTTAAGGAACAAAAGTGAAATTCAGTGGGGGGGATTTCTCCAGGTAGAGCAGGTTTAGGGGCAAAAAAATATATATATTCAGTGGTATTCAGCAATAGAAGAAATGGCCATTGGCAAGAGGCTGAGTGATCACACAGACAGTAAGTGAAAAATGGACTGTGCACAACAGAGGCCAGTGATTTGCTTGTGGATCAGGGGAGTCATCATTTATCTCTGAAAGTACAACTGTTTTAGCAAATGTTGCATTCCTGGGAAGAACAAGGGACGAGGCAAGTGCAAATAGCAGAGGCATCAATACTCCTCTGGTCCGTGAGTCAGGCAAGTCTAGAAATAATCCAAGTATAGGTGTTTTTCCTAGTTGTGGAACTGTGCATGGTGGCGTGCTAGCAGTTACACAGGAAAGCTGACATTGCATTATCTGGGTGGCTTTAGCTTGCTGTCTGCTTGTATCTTATGCTGTGTAGGTTGACAGGTACTTACATTAAAGCTTCACGTGGTTTCTGCTGTACCGGAGTCTAGTTAAATTGGGTACTCCCTCTCAGAAACTTAAATACTTTCAAAACTAAAGTGAAAAAATAGAAGTCTTAAGCTTCCAGTGAGTAAAAACACTACATTCTGGGATTTATTTTCAAGCTTTGCTTATACAGACAAAGAGTCATTGCATTTCTTAAGTGCTTCATGTACTTCTCTCGTGAATTATTCACAAACCCTGCAGAATATGTCTTTGCCAGGTTGCCAGCTGCATAACTTAGACATTTTTGGTGGCACTTTGCAAAAACAATAGGTGAGATTTGGCAGCCTCTGGATGCTGATTGCTCTGCAGTCTCTCTTGCTTACTGTACTAGCCCATTGCATCCACCACACACTGCTGCATTTTAATTAGCCCTGTGGTTTCAGTGATGGCAGCATGCCACCCTGAATTTCAAACTCTTGACATTCTCATTGTGCACTGGAATTTAACCATGGATAGTAATTAATTACTCGTGTTGTTCTGATTCCTGAATAAATGAAGAAATGCAGCTCACCCTTGCAGGGCAGGTTTATTGTCAGCTCAGCCATTAGTAGCCCTGGTCTGCCAAGAGAAATAAAAGCGTATTGGGGTTTTTTGGCAAAGTGCTGCTCTGCTTTGCTTTGGATGGAGGGACCAAGAACCACCTTGACAGGGCATATTTAGAGTGGGTACTTAGCATCACTGCCTCACCAGATTCTTATTTTTGCATCCCTTAGACTTAAGAAACGTAAGAGCCTCCACTGAATTACCACGTTAAGGAACTTTGGTTATGTTAATTCTATGGCTTCATTAATTACCCCATATCAATAAGAAAAGGCAGCTTTTAGCCTCCTAGCGTAAGAGAGGAAAAGAAATAGTAGTATCAAAGGAAAGCTTCAAAGACAGCCAGAGCTGTCTCTTGGGTAATTTCTGATCCCTGCATTCTTTCCACTTCAAAGCTGGATGTGTGTGTGTTTGGGTGAGAGGGGGGTTGAATCCGATTTCTCTAATAAATGTTGGCACCAGACCTGTTTGATATTGGATGCAGGGAACATTCTGATTTGTTATCGCCTTTGAAATCGTTCAGACGACCTTCAGAAAATGGCCTCTTGTTACTTATGCTGGGGGGTGGGTGTGGAGAGTGGGGGCATTGGGGAAAAAAAAAGCGCCCCAGTTTCATTCGCATGCAGAGGATGCCCTGAAATTGTGCTTTCAGCAGTTTTTTAGTTATAAATGTGTGTCTTGATTGAAAGTGAAAAGTTGAAGAATAATAGACCTATAACGATGCATTCTTTAATCTGCCTCTGCCTTAATCCTCTGTTTCAGGGGGAAAGGTGGGCAGTCATTTAGGATGTATGCCTGTGGTTGGGGGGAGGTTGTAGCTTTTTCTCTTTGCTTTTTTCTTTTTTTGGTCAACTTGGATAGCATCCTGTCTGTGAGACAGACACTCATTACTTTTTCAGCTTTTCAGTCTTCGTGCTAACTAATGAACATTCAGAATCTGTTGGACTCATCTTAATGCAGCATCTGAAGTGGATGGTTTTTTGTTGGGTTTTTGGGGTTTTTTTTAGATCTTGGGTCTAACTAGAAGGGATCACATACTTGGTTTGATCACTAGAGATTAGCAAAACCATACATACATTCCAATTATAGCATCTCTGCAGTCAAAGAAAACCTTGAGTTACATGAAAACTTTTTTTTTTTTTAAATACATATTAATATTTTATTTTCAAATGTAGACTTTTCTAATATGTAAATGCAATCCTTCCTTCCTGACAGGCTCTGGTCTATTATTACACTGTAAATCAAGCTCAGGTCAAAGTCCAGGCTGAACTGCTGCTGGTGGACTCTACAGTGTGAGTGCTGTTGGTGTCACACAGGTTCTTGATCCCACCCTGAGAGCCAGTAAATGTACCAAGGTTTGGAGGAACATGCCTCAGGGTACTTCTGTCTTCATCTAACCCTCAAAAGGCATCAAGACATCAGCTCCCTTTTGTCTCATGACAAGGTCAGCAGTACTAAGCCACAAAACATCAATCCTGAAGTGATTTTTAAAGTCTTTGACATCACCTCCTGTCCAGGCTAAGGTCTGGGGACACAAGAGTCACTTCTGTACCAGTAGTTAGAAGTGGGCCACTTAACAACATTACTCCTAAAAGAATGGGAACTTGTAGCATCCTGAACATTTTTAGCAATCTGAATTAATTGCTTGGGTTCAGCATCCTTCTCCCTCTCATCCTTCACCCCCCTCTAGTGTGTTTTACTCACTTCCTGTGACTTGCTTTACTTCAGCTAGGACACCAAACACAGAATTAAAATTATCAGATGTGCCTAACAGTAAAGCAGATAAACCACCATTGTGGGAAGATGTTTGTCCAGCCATGTTACCAAGCACTAGAGGAGCTGTACCTGCTTCATAAATTCACTCAAAAGATTGTTTTGTTTAGACTATGATCCCAGAGGCTGATGCTGTATCAAACGTTTTTCCTGTGACAAGTTTTGTGCATATGGAATTGTTGAGTACAGTTGGATCTGTAGTGAAAAAAAAAAGTAATCTGCAAATCTGAGATTGGTGGAAGTTCCTCTTGGTTTTCCCTGCTGATTCTCCTTGACAGAATACAAGATATTCCACAGGGCTGGGTTAAAAGAGCATTAGCATGTCATTTGAAATTGCTTAATGTGTGATTAATGTGTGATTTATCAAGCATTTGGTTGTTTAACCAGGACAGCCTTACCTTCTGGTCTCTGAGGCTAATAAAACTTACTTCAATTGTGTTCTTGGAGTTTGTATTTAGTTGAGCACGCATTTAAGTCATGGATGTGCACAGTTACTACAACCTTAAATCTCTTTTAGTGTGATTTTTGTCTGCAAATGTAAATGCAGTTTCCTAAGGGATGTTTTATTCAGCCCCAGTAGACCAGTGCTTGGACTTAATTCAGCTAAACGTTCTTTGTGTCATTTGTAACTGAATCACTTATTCAGACACCAGACAAGCACCAACTTAGTAAAAATGCCCTCATTTAGAAACAGACTGAAACTGATGAGCATTTGCACAGATCAGCCACCACCCTATACAAATTAATATTTTGCTTTCTTTTAAAGAGAACGTGTTAATTCCACAGGTCTTGTATATAAATAATTTTTAACTTGCAACTGTGATGAACTATGTTCATTCTTCACTGCAATACAAAGGAAATCTGATATATTAATTCCCTTTCTTGAATTGCAACAGGTAGAGGGAATGGCTCAAAACAGTGAACTGAGAAATGTGTCTCCATAGATCTGTTTGCCTGCTCTTTTAATTTGAACAGCTGCTTATTTTCCTTTTCTCCATAATCACAGGCAGTAATATATCTAATTTTTTTTTCCCTACTGCAGCTTGACATATGGTCTAAATCCAACTATCAAGTTTTTCAGAAGGTAAGTCTCAAATATTTTCTCTCTAAATACTCTGCATAGGAGATATGCAGAGTTTTATTTTAAATGTCTAATGCAAAATGTAAAATAATTCAGAATTTATTCCTTTGTCACCACAATTTGCAGGGTCCAAACATTCATCAGTAGTAATAGAAAACTGAGTAGAAAAGGTGGTCACTTCTGCTGTTATTTCATTTGGATTTATTTCCCATCACAGTTCCAGTCCATGGTTTGGAGTAGGAAATTGGAGATTATACTCCTCTATTCTTAACATTTCATGAGGAATCTTCCTTAGTTTAAATCTTTTGGGGGAGGAAGGACTGTTTCAGGTTCATTTGGATTTTGTTATGTTGTTTTCACTGGTTTTAGTTGCTCTGCTCTCCTGAGGGTGTGAGTTTAATAAATCAGTAGAACTTACATCCCAAAATGATCTTGGAAGTTTTCTCCATGATGCTCATTTCTGCCTGCTGCTCTTCCCATGAGGGTGTTAAGCAAAAGGAGTGACTTAGTGACATGACTGCCATCCCAGAAAGTAAAAAAAGACCAACAGGAGAAAGGGAGCAATAAGTATAAAACTATACAAAGAAGAGTATTTAACAAAGATCTATATTTCGCTGTTTTCCAGGCAGGGCAGAAAAGATTTCTCTTTGAAGGCATGTTGTCAAAATGCTGTAAGTCCTGATTGATCTGGGTTTTAATTCTGATTTCCTTACCTTCAAGCCACAGCTTGAGGCGCTTGAGTTGGCTTCCTTTCATCTGCTTCTGGAGGCTGGGTAACAAATGGGGGTCAGGGACTCAAAAGGGCATGAAAGCAGGGGTCAAAAATGTGGCATATCAGCTGCATTCGTGCATCTTCCTTCCAGGATTTCAGATGGGAAGATGTTTGACCTATGATGTTAACCTGCTAGAGATGAAAGGACAGCTTTTGGGGAGGCTGCTTGCTCTCCATCTCTGCCTTAGCATTAAAGCAAAATTTTGCTGCAGTTGATTCTTCACCCCAGAGATTAGTGGATTAAATATTCTTCTTTTTTTTTTTCCCTCCTCAAAAAATCTGTAGTGTCAAGTAGGGTAATACAGCAGGAAGTAAACCAGCATAAATCTTAGCAACTTCTTTATCAGCTTGCTTTTAAGTAATGTTTAGAATCTAATAAATTTAAGGCTCTGTAATTAAGAGCATCATCTGGATTTCCCCGTGTGTGTGTGTTCTCTTGTGAGCTCTTTTGGGCCTAACAGAGTCTACTGGAATGTTTTAGTTTAGAATACCTAGTAAAGGTTAAGTCATATTGCCATTGCTTGTGCCAAAATTATAATAAATCTTGAAGTTTTGATTATTCAATTTTAATTGTATATGTGCAGGGTAACAGAGGAGATTAAATGTAGTCTGTGTTTAGGGCATGAGGGAGAGGAATGTAAGTCTGTAAATTTTTCTTCAGATCCAGGGAATGGCCTTGAGACCAAAAGTGGAAAAGGTCCGTAAGAAAACATGAATTGTCCCTCTCACTGCAGCTGTGTGGCTGCATCATGGATAAAGGAGAGTCTTTATTCTCTTCTTAATTCTTTAAAACAATGTGATGTCACCTAAATACTAAGTTCCTGTTCTCCAACTCCCTCTCTCTAAGTAATACCGAATGCATTAATATTTACTGAAAAAAATCCCACAAAACAGAAAGAGAAGACTGCAGGAGACTGCCTGTAACCACTTGAACAGCTGTCTGCATTTTTTTATAGTAGTTTTATGCATTTTGTTCCCAGCTCAGTGTTACCTTGGGCAATTTAATCTCTCTTTGGATCAGTTTTCCACATCCCTTCAGCTGGGGTAATACTTGCTGACTTCACAGGAGCTATTGCTGAATTGGTTGCATGGGACTCTCAGTGTCTTGCATGAGAAATGTGATAAAAATGCAAGGTGGTGGTACTTTCTAATCAATAGATTTTGTACTATTGAGCTGAGAGTTAAAGAAGTTCAGGCTAGGGCCTAAGTCAAGTTTTTCAACAGACAATGGAAAATACTGTGGTTCAGCATGGGAGGCTTTCTCTCTGTGGTGCTGTTTGGTTTTCTCTTTATTCTCTGTAGCTGGACATGTATCCATTTGTAATACCCAGGAACAGTGATTTAGCTGTGGCAAAATAAAGGAAATAGATAAAATAGTGTTGGAAAAATTATTATACTCTGTTACTAGTCTAAGATCTGTACTGCAGGCTCTTCAGAACAACTGGTTTTGTGCCATTAAAAAGTCATCAGTAAATGTATCAGAGCACACCTGAGTGCTTCTGAAGTGGGTTTCTCATGGCAGTCACCAGGAACACTATGTGGAAGTGCTATCCTGAGGAGGAAGACCATGGATGAGTAACTGCTCCTAGCGTGGAGGCCGAGTGGCCCTTTCAGCTCTGCTGCCTTTAACCCTGTGAAATCAAATTGACCCTCTGAAGGACAGGGCTGTGTCTCTTTAAAAGCTGGACTGAGTTCTCCAACTCTGTCTTCAGTGATAATGCAGCAACACCTGGAGCTCACAAGGTACCTGCCTGTGGTAGCTGCAGGCCTGTCAAATTCTCACAGGGTTGCAGCGTGGCTTTCTAGGTTAAGGACCAGAGACCTCTGATCTTCAATCTGACCCTGTCAAATGAAGCTAAATTTGTCCTGACTCCTTGTTTGCAAATGTTGGCTGTTTCAGCAGCCTTTTCTCTCTCCTTCTGATGAGGCAGGATACCCGAGTGTGTCATTTGATGGGGGACAGGCTTCCCGAGGACCCATTACTGGTAAAGTGTACAGACATTTTCTGAGTTCCCTGGAGACTCCTTGAATCTGTTCCTGGGGTGAATAAGCTTTACAGGCATTGAATCCACCAGCAGGGTTAGATTCAGAGAATGGACCTGAGAAATAAGAGAAGGAAGCCTGAAAGGGCAAATGCACAAGGAGCAAAGAAAAGGTTTTTCAGACTTCCACATAGGTCTGACATTTAAACTCTGCAGGAAAGGCAACTGTTTTGAAGTTAAACCTCCTTACTTTAACACCTTGCATCTCTTGATCTGCTAGTGCAAGAGGAGGAACAAAACAGGAAATACAGAAATATTTGGGGGCTTTAGGCCTTGGTGGGAAGAAGGCTACATAGTTACAGGTCATTGTGCAGAAGATTCGTATATATAGAGATAGAGAATGGTTCAGTTTGCATGCAAAAAAGAGGCGAATAAATGGAGTAGTGGAACTGCCAGGAGTGGATCAAAATGAGAGATGGTGTCAAACATAAATTTATCAGGCAGCTCAGTTAAGAGCGGCATAGCTGGTTGTGCTGTGTAATATGATCAGTTTGGCTGTTTGAGTCCTGTGCATAGGCTTTAAACTCATATTCTATTCTTATTTTCATTCACCTAAATGGTGTCTCAACTGATCTTGTTTTGGCTCAATACTCTTTTCACCAAGGTTCATTTTAACCTACATTTTCAGAAGCTCTTTGTGCCTCCCCAGGTGTTTGTGAGTGGTGAGATCCCAAGGGGGTGGAACTGGGAGGAGGATTTTCCTCACTACAAGGGCACATAAATATTGTAATGTATTAAGATGTATTCTTGTCAATAATCTCAGAATAAAATCACATGCAGGATGAATTCATGCATGAGACAGATCTGGGGCTATTGATGCTGTCTTCTCAAGGAGAGGAGATGGACTCTTCCAGGGTCACCTGCACTTTTGCTTCTTTGCATGGTCAGTTCTTGTCTCTGTTCAAAGCCCTGCTTAGGTGAAATCAAATCTCTCTGACCCAGCCCAGATAAGCAGAACAAGTGAAATAAAAGCTCAGACACTCATTGAGCTCCAGAAACAACTGATAAATCCTGTGCTTCAGAAAATTCCAGTAGTGCTTTAGTGAACTGGGAGTGGGGAAAGGGGTGTGGAGGAATTGTGTGCAGCTCAGCAGTGCCTGTTTGTAGAGTCGCCATCTATCACGCTCCTTCTGAGCACCCCTTGGGCACCAGGTTCTGTGCACCAGATTCCCTCCAGAGAGACTCACAGGTGGTCCCAGAGAGCAGATGGAGTAATGGGAATCCTTGGAAGTGAGCAAAGACCCTCCTGCAGCTTTCCACATTATGATCATCCTCCAGAACTCATTGCCACAGGCTGCTGTTAAGGCTGCAAACTGAGCAGGGCTTAAAAAAAAATAAATTAAAAACTTTCAGGGGATTTAGAGAAACCCTGTATATTAGATGGAGTTGTCAGTGCTGTACTTGAGGGAATGAGCCAGCAAGGGAAAGTCAGGATTCTTAAACGAAGCTTTGCACCTACTTTTGAAAAGCAGATTTACTGGCAGTGAGATACAATAGTAGAAGAGGGAGAGAGCTTCTGTAATTTAATCATGTGATGTTTGTATTTTTGTTGTTTAGTTTTTATGCCAGGTATAGCTTCACACGTCTGTGGAACGTACCTAGTCAGTGGTGGAGCAAAACTGTACCATAGATCTTGGCTTTTATGCTTCATCTTCCAGCTAGAGGAAGCACTTGTTCAGGGGGTGTTTTATTTTCTTGCTTTTTTTTTATTTGTTTGGTTTTTGTTCATGAATGAATTTTCAGCTTTGGGAATGCTATCTGACTAATGAGTGTTGTCAAGGCCCAATAATGCCATTTTGTGGATGTGTCACCTTTGAAAAGCACGTTTCAGTAAAGAAATGCCCTAGAAATGACTAGTGTGAGTTTGGTTGAGGCAAATAACAGGAATTTTGTTTTCTGCTCCTCTCTGGGTGTTGGTCTCATGAGCTGTTTCTAATTTACCAAGCAGAGAAACTGAGCAGGAGTCAGGAGTCCAGGTCTTCCTGCTCCCTTGCTGGGGCCTGGTTCTTCATCAAAAGTAAGACCATTGGATTTAATTTGCACAAAGGTGAGGTTTATGAATTTTCAGCTTTGGGAATGCTATCTGACTAATGAGTGTTGTCAAGGCCCAATAATGCCATTTTGTGGATGTGTCACCTTTGAAAAGCACGTTTCAGTAAAGAAATGCCCTAGAAATGACTAGTGTGAGTTTGGTTGAGGCAAATAACAGGAATTTTGTTTTCTGCTCCTCTCTGGGTGTTGGTCTCATGAGCTGTTTCTAATTTACCAAGCAGAGAAACTGAGCAGGAGTCAGGAGTCCAGGTCTTCCTGCTCCCTTGCTGGGGCCTGGTTCTTCATCAAAAGTAAGACCATTGGATTTAATTTGCACAAAGGTGAGGTTTCATCCAGTATCAGTCTAGTTGTTATTCCTGATGTACCGAGTGCCCTCAAGGAGGGAGCAGAGATGCATTTTAAAAGTACATGGTTATAGTCAACTTGAATTTGGAAGCAAAAAGGAGAATAAAAATAGTATCTCAGGCAATATAATTAACAATTAACAAGAAGGGAAGTTTTCTTGTTCTGAGTCTCTTTGCCAGAATTGTTGGGTTTTTTTTTTCTATGTAACTTTAAGTCTTTCTTGCTCTGTCACAAAGTTCTTAGTTAAACAGTAGCTATTTTATTTAGCAAAATGATGCTTCAGGAGATTGCCTCATCTTGCCTCATTTTCCCAACAAAAATTCCAAGTGCTTTTCAATTTATGAACTGTGAAATATTGAGCTTTTCTGCGAGATCTCTCCAAAATCTATTCTGAGGACCAGAGCAACAGCTATCCCAATCAATGTGTGCTCTTTGGAATATGTTCCCATATCAAAAGAGGTAGAATTGGAAAGTGACCAATAATGTAGCAGTAGGTCAGGTAGAGCCATGAAAGTGGCGTTAATAAAATGAATGTACAAAATGTCATCCTACACTCAGAATACATTAGTTTGTGATTCCAACTTGGCTGGAAGAAAAAGTGTGTCCCTTAAGTGAGCTGGTGCATATGTAGTTTGTTTTGCTTTGCTTTGCTGTGCAATCGTATTGCCATTAGTAAAGCTGGGTATTGATCTTTTCTTTTTTCTTCCTTTTTTAATCTTGGCCAGTTTTTGCTTTCTCTCATCATCTCTTTATCTTGGGGGGTTTAACTCTTTCTTTGCTCCCATTCTCTGGCCACTTCATTTGCCCAGCTCTTTTCTCTTCTTTCCTGGCTTTGGGGGGGAGGTCATTCCCCTGCTCCTCTTCCTCAGATTTGACACCCACTTTAATCTTTTTTAGAAGCACTTTATCAGGCACTTGCTTACGGTAGAAATCATCTCCTTTTTATTCAGCAACCATTTATTAGTGTTCTAGCAATTCTGGGCTGACTTTTATCTCCCTGTGGAGTCTCATTAGCTTTACTTTACAATAGGAACAGCATATGTGCAACTTTGCCAAAGTGGCCAGTCAATTTACATTTGTTAATAGCAGTATTTTTTTTTTAAGCAACTTTTTCCTGTGCCAAGAGAAAACAACTTTGTTATTCAGGAGGAAAAAAAAATACAGTTTGTTAGAAGTAGAAATACAGCAGAAGGAGAGAGGCTGCTCATAAATACTTTCAGAACTTTCTATGCGTTGACATGTCTGGTACTATCCTATAAAAGCACCATCTTAAAAGCAAAAAATCCACATACCTAGTAGAGCTCAGAGTCATTTCTGAACTCTACGGGAGATGTGTTTAAAAGAAACAACTGATCTGAGTGATGCTGTGCTATGAATGCACTGTTCATCATGTTTCTAATATATATATTTTTAATATGGTTACGTATCATAGAATCATAGGATGCCAGGTTGGAAGAGACCTCAAGGATCATCTGGTCCAACCTTTGTAGGTACTACTATAGTTTATATGAGATGGTTCGGCCAACCCTGTCAAGCTGAGACTTAAAACTGTCCAATGTGGGGGAATCTACCACTTCCCTTGGGAGACTATTCCAATGTTTGTCCTCCTGGGGAAAAAATTTACCTCTTGTGTCCAGTCAGAATCTCAACTCATCTTGGTATCACCAGCAATCTTCATCAGGGTGCTCTTGATCCCAATATCCAGGTCACTTATGGAGGTGATAACCAGCATATGAATGACCCAAGAAGGCTGAGAGGTCCCTTTTGTGGTTATTTTTACAGACTCACCAATATGTGCAGGGTCTGAAAGTTTTCCCTTCCAGGTGTCAGAATCACATGTCCTTATTCACGCTGGATGGAGCTGCTTTTGGAGTTGTGCACAAATGGTGGGGAGCAGGATCTGCTTCTAAAACTGGCTTAGAACTTACAACTGGGTTGAGTGTAGGACAAACTGATGTGAGTCAGGACTCTGCAGAGGAAGTTTGTGGTGTGAATTAGAGCCTGTCTATACATGGATTTATTCAGGAATGGATCTTACAGTCTCACCTCCCTGAATAGCTTCAAGCTTGAGACTCTCTTTCTCCAGGGAAAGCTGGAATCCTTCAGCACGATTCATATTGCTGAATTAGACTAAGTACAAATCAGGGACAAACGGAGTTAGCTGAGAGTAGCAATTGTAATTCCATTTCACACTTTATCTTACTCATAATTTAGTATGTCGACAAGCCATGGGAAATACACAAACAAGCCCTGAGAGGAGCAGAACTTCTCCAGGTTAAAACTAGAAAACACTATTTCATCATTAACTAGAAAATCAGGTAGTTTGTTGAAAGCTTTGATAAAACTAATGAAGACCATTAATAGATTTATGAGTTACAAGATGTGAAAGAGGTCTCGGGGTTGTGTTGTCTTGAGTTCTTTATTAGCCCAGCCAAGAATTTCTGCATCAAGCCTAGAACTTCTGAGAAGCAGCAAGATGTTGGTTGTGCTAATATCTGAGAAACCTGACAGGCTGAATACTGGTAGTGAATTGTATCAAAGCTGTCAGAAACTTGCCCCTTCCAAAATAATTTTTAAATGTCAGTGATTTATTTTTATTTTTTTTAAAGCAAAAAAAACCATAAATTTTTCAAAGCATTGCTTGTTTTTCCTGATTTTATGTTTTTTTAATTATTCTTGTTGTTATTATAAATATACATTTTTATATGTATTCTGTCTAGCTGTAATTCCCAGTTGTAAGGTGTTGTTATGGCTCTGTCTGGGGAATTAAAAAGCTTTCTGGCAGGAATCTTTTACTAATGCAAGTATTTATAAACCATAATCATATTGATTCCTGGTTTCAGAGGAAATGAAACTGAGAGCTCAATTCCTATTTGTTCAACATAAGGAACCTGAAATGGGACTATACAAGAGTTAAATACTTTTAAAGTTTTTTCCATTAAAAAATGGAGACAATATAATCATTTTTCTATAAAAATGCAGTTTCAATTTAGAGTACTTCATCCTATTGAGAGAAGGATAAGGGGGGGTGGTTTCTTGGCTTTGAAACTGTTGATTTTTTTCTCTAAACCCAAAACTTTGGGGTTTGGTTTTGGAGTTTTTTTAAGTCTTAGACATTAGTCTTCCAGAACTTAAACAGCTACATTCTTGACAATGTTACTCATTTTGTTGAGCAAATCATAGATTAAAAGAATATATTATCTAAAAAATAAAAATTACCAGAGAAAAAATGGGAACATGTAAAGAGAAAACCAAAGTGCTTTCCCATGACATGATTTGTTTAGTGACTTTGCTTGTTTCTGAATTCACAGAATACTTGGGATTTCATCACAGGAGCACAGGTTCTGCTCTGATGCTGTAGGCATTTCAAAGTTAGGCAAATTATTTGCTGTGGATGCTTTTATTTTATATGGCACATAATGTCTTTTATTTTTTCCTTTTCACAAATGGGGTGGCAGTGGGAAAGCAAAGCATGTTGGTCAGAGCTGGTCACCTTTCCTCATTGCTTGGCTCACAGGAGCTACAAGTCCAGGTTCTTTTCCCAACACTATCAGCTTTGATCTTTATGAACTTCCCAAGAGTGTCGGATTGTCCTGTGTTCACACAGAGTGATTGATCATGATTCCTTCATGATTCTTGTGTGAAGTTGGCAGAAGGGACTGGAAGCTAACTAAAAATTACCCCAGATTACTTGGAGAATGTCTTCACAGTTGTGTAATCCTTGGTTTGCTGCTTCCCCATGGAATTTATCCTGTTTTCCTTCAGATCAACACTGCTTGGTGTGAAATACAGAATGAATAACTGGATGTTCTCCCTTGCTCTGTTGCAGGTGACAGATCATGCGACCACTGCTCTGTTGCACTACCAGCTGCCTCAAATGCCAGATGTGGTGGTCAGATCTTTCATGGTAAGTGTTTTGGAAAATACCTTTTTTCAGGTAGATTTCAGCATGCTTTCAGTGAGTGACATCAAGCAGTGGTGCTGCAGCTGTAGTTCTTTAATACCTGGACAAGGGTGAAGAGCTGCTTCCCATTTCCCTGGGATAATTGTGTTTGGAAGACTGAGCTGTATTCAGTTCTTCTGTCTCAGGCCTCAGTATTTGTTTGATGATTCCTAATTGCAAAGCTACTCTGGGTCACCTCTGAAGACAGTTGGAAAAACTCTCTCAGCCCAAATCTGTGCTGTGGTCCAGCCCCTTCCCACTGTTCATACTGAGCAAGGAGCTGAGTTCTGGATGTAGAAAGTCTGCCCCACTCAAAGTTCCCCAGGAAGAGGGAAATTCCAGGTAGTGTGTTACAGCTGAGGCAGGTGAGAGTTGCCCAGTAGGGGAATTGATAAGAGTTATGGGAGAAGGATGGGAAGGAGGAACATGACTGGGAAAAGTCCATTTTGCTGTGTCCACTCTCAGTCCCAGCTCTGTTCCTGAGGAACTGCATATGCTCACCCAGCAGGTGAGTGTGTAAGGTGAATTTTGGCAGTGGAGGCTCTTGCAGTTCTCTCAGCTGCAGCTGGAGCCCTTTGGGAAAGTTTTCTCTGCTCTCCAGACTTTCCCCTTCCGTTACATTACCCTTTCACCTGGATCAATGTAACTGAGACATCTGAAAACAAACATCTAATTTTGCCATTCCCAGTCTTTAGGTGTGTGCAGTAGTCTTGTGTCTTTGATGTCTTTAATTTCCACTGTGTAAGTTCAGCTCAGTCAGACTTTCTCACCTGCTGTGCTGGTTTGTTTATTTAATAAAAAGGCCGCTAAGGTGAGAGATTTAGAAAGGTCTCTTCTCTTGGAGTGCATCTTAAAAAAAATAGGTTTTCAAAAGGTGAAAGCAGCTCTTCCTGGTCAAATCCACGTTTCAACATGTTTCTGAAAATGAATGTTTAATAGAACGGGTAGCAGGTTTGTTTAAGCTGTGGGCCTGCCTTATTGATTTGATAAAACACTGCTAAAACTTCTAACAAAGCAAAACCAGACGTGCAGCTGAAGTGTCCATACATTGGTCCTCTCACATGTCAGCTCGGCAATCCACATGGCAGGATGTGGTGAAGCCTTCATTTTCTGATGGGAATAAAGAACTCAGGGCTTGGCTTTTTTTTCTCTTTGAACAGATGTCTCAAGTGCACCATTTAACTTCGTTTACCTGGGTTTTGTATGATGGTTCAGAAAATTCGATTTCTCTGTAGTGCAAGTGAAGCCCATCCAAGCTGAAGTAAATAACAGCAATTTACTTGTAGTGTTCTGTTGCCCTTGTCTCCATATTTTCTGCTAAACCCAGAGAAGATCTAGTTCTTTTGGAGGAGAGTTATTGACGGCCAAAGGTTTGGTTGCTATAGAGAAGGCTCTGATGAAGATGGAAGGATTTGTTTCAATAAACTCAGCTGACCTCTTCTTCAGAGAACAATTTTCTCTTATCGATATAATTCAATAGGACTTTAAATGACAAGATTCATGTGCATCCTTCACGGTATTAAGCTGCTGGTCTAGGTGTTTTTTTAGTGGTGCATCTCTTGGAGTTGGGAATGGGGTTGTGTAATGCTCTTTGCTATGGGCAACGAGAGGAGCAGTTCACTTTAGGGGTGGGAATTTTACCTGGGAACACCTGGACTTGCTCTGTGTTTTTCATCACTAGCCATATATATATATATATATATATAAAAAAATTCAGTGTAATCAGATTTCAAATGGTACAGTATTTTTATGACCAATGAGTATTGATCTTCAAATTGCATTAGAGAGGAAGTTAGTTAGCTTGCTGTGAAAGTCCTTATATCTTCAGCCCGTTGCACTGGGATTGCAGCAGGGGGGTGATAGATGATCACAGGAAGAGAAAACCAATATTCAGTGGAAGAAGGTACCCATCAGGAATAATTATATTTATGAGGAGTGTTGCAATCCTTGTCTTCTGTCATGATTCTCTAGCTGTGACTCCCTCCTGCTCAGAGTGCAGGAATTTCTATCAACAAATCTGCTTAAGTGACTAAAGAAGCAAAAGATGATTAATAAAGTGGGAATTCAGCTTCACAGTGACCTTGTAATCTTGGGCATGTTTCTGTTGATAAAATCACCGTGTCCCTCGCTGGGGCCTGGCCAAGGTACATCCCCTGTCCTTGCTGGTGCTGTTTGACAAGAATGATGACAAAGGGGAACATCCATATCCAGTTTTCCTAATTTCTCTCCCTTTTTCCTTTCAGACCTGGTTAAGAAGTTACATAAAGCTGTTCCAGGCTCCGTGCCAGCGCTGCGGGAAGTTTCTGCAGGATGGTCTGCCCCCCACCTGGAGGGATTTCCGAACCCTTGAAGCTTTTCATGACACTTGCAGGCAATAGCAGCCCAGCCACTGGTCACCAGGAGGGGACAGCTTGGAAAGAGAGCTGAGGGCTTAAAAGGTGGTTCCATTCCTCATCCTGTACTAAGCAGTGAGGTTGCACTAATATATTTGACTATTTAAAAAGCCATCAGTCTGCAAGGTACCAATGTGTTTTGAATGGTAAGAGCTGTGTGTGATCACTTGGTGCCTCTGAGCTGAAATGGTGTGTCTGGGGAGATCTGGCTGTAATAACCATTCTTCTAAACCTTAATGAAAAGAACTCTGCACTTGTGTTTGGTGACAGAATTTGCAATGTCGAAGACTTTTATAAGCTTGAAAATAAATTTTGTATTCCAGAATTTGTGCTGTTTGTTTCTTTGTTTGAGCAACAAAATCCTTGGGCTTGGTGTGGAGTTTTCAACGCTGCTCTTTTCTTTAGAAAAACTGGCAACATGTAAAGATGCAAGTTGGTGTGATGGGGGTGGTTGTTGTTGCAAGGCTGCTTCTCTGAGTGCTGGTCTTTTTCTGGAAGAGATGATGGTATTGATTAAACATGGAATTTCAAAGGCATGTGGCAGCTTGGAAGATGCAACGTACTGTGGAAGGTGGGGGGAAACAGATGTTTCCCTTTGCTAAAATTGTCATGAAAAATGTGAGCAAAATCTGCATGTATTCAGTGGTTAGAAAATGTGTGATGAGCAGTGACAGTGTGTGTAATTTGTCATGTTTTAGGACTGAAAGTAGTAAAATAATTCAGCCCTCAAGGTTCTGCAGCACAGACACATGCAGCACGTTTCCTGAATCATTTACCATTTGCATGCAACACGCCAGGGAAGAGCAAGATCCCTCCCCGAAATCCTTGCACTGGGAATGGGTGGGAGTGCTCAGCTCCTACCAGCACCACCCGAAGGCAGGGGAGGTCCATGGGCCTCTCACGGCTGGATGCTGCTCAGTGGCTGGGGTTGTAGCAGGTAAGTGTCTTCTCTGGTGCTTTCTTGAGGTTGGTACTTTCCTCTGTCATCTCCTGATGGCTAATTTGATTAATTCAGCTGTCATGCCCACTGGTGCACTTTTGTTTCCTTTACAAGCCATAGAGGGTTTGGTGGTAAGAATCACAGACTGGTTTGGGTTGGAATGGACCTTAAAGATCATCCAGATCCAACCCCCTGCATGGGCAGGGACACCTCCCACCAGCCCAGGTTGCTCCAAGCCCCATCCATCCTGCCCTTGAACATTTCCAGGGATGGGGCAGCCACAGGTTCTCTGGGCAACCTGTTCCAGTGTCTCACCACCCTCATAGTGCAGAATTTCCTCCTAATGTCTCACCTAAATCTCGCCTCTTCCAGTTTCAATCCATTACCCCTCTTCTCACTACAAGCCCTTGTCAAAAGTCCCTCCCCAGCTTCCCTGTAGGCCCCCAAAAAGCTCACTTGTGGAAACTGGTGAGGGGAGGTGTGGAGAAGCTTGGTCACTTGTGCTGGAGACTGATTTTTGAGTTTCCTTCTGTATGAAAAGCTTCTGAAGGAGAAGCCTCCCTCTCAAAGGCTTTGGTGGCAGCTTGGTTTGGTTTTGCAGGTAATGTTGAATCAAATTAATCACATTTAATAAAAAAGAAGAAGGCAGGGGAGACCAAAAAACAGGGCAGGAAGGGGTGGGACTGTTACTGCAGCTGGTTGGAGGTGTTCAGAGACTTCTAAAGAACTTGTTTAATTTGGACCAATGGCAGTTATGGAACAGCCCATTTCATGGCTGTGGAAACTAAAAACTGAAGGAACTTGAGTATCACCCTGTACTTGTGTGGTACTAAATGAACTGTTTGCTGGTAGCATAAAAGACTGAGCTCCCAGGACAGCAGCTCTGGCCTGCAGGGTCAGCATGAGAGGTGGGAAATTCATCTCTAGGTTTAGAAATCCATGCAGGACTGGCTTGTATTTAAAAAAAAGGGAAACTTGGGAAAAAAATATACTTGTTTATGACTTCCTGGGGAGGCACAGCATTGTGTGTTCAGAATGAATGTGTATTTGCTCGAGGATGTTATTGAGATTTTATCCTTTTTTTTTTTTTTAACATTTTTCTTTTTTTTCTCTCAATCACCAAACAGAACCACGCCCAGAGCAGGGGGATAATGGCAGTTTCAAATCCAACTGCTGTTGAATTACCTAATGAAACCTTGTGCTGGTATTTGACCCAGGCAGCCTTCTCAGTACAAAGATCACCCAAGACAGAACAATGTGTGCATCTCAGATGAGAGGGAGCCTTGTAAATAAGCAGCCCTGCTATCCTTCCTGCTACTGTACTAATTAGAAGGTGTGGGTTTCTGATAGTGTAAGCATTTTATTTTGTTAATAAAAAGGTCATAATGCAGTATCCAACCTGCTTTAGGCATTGCTGTCTGCCCTGTTTTGGGTTTATTACTTCAATAATGGTGTGGAAAGCGAATCCTGAAGTTCACAGAAGTATTGTGGAATCATGGCTTGGCACTTGGAGGTAATTAGTTGCAGAAAACAGCACCAGCCAGTCTGTGTGTTAATTGAGCCGGAAATTTTAAACCTGTAATTGGTCACTCTGATGGAGAGTTGTAAAATTCACTGTAGGCACCTCCCTCCAAAAATAATTGTCTTGCAGAAGTGCAAGGCAGACCTGTTTGTCACGTTCCTTCCCCCAGGAAGCAGTGGTCAGAGGGAACCTTCCCCCTTTAGAGGGCCTGTGAGAAACAGGGATTTCTGTCCCTGCTTCAAGTGCAACAAGTTGGAATGTTTCTGGTTTGGGGAGTTCAGCTGCCTGAACTCCCCCAAAGCTCCTGCCCTTCAGCAGCTGGGGCACAGAACATGCTGGTCTCTGCTCCTTGGCCTGGGTGACCAGTGCCAGGTTAGTGCTGAGATGGGTTAAACCTCACTCCAGGTTTTGAATGTGAGGACTAGAAACTGGGAGATCACTTCTAACTGCAAAGCCCTTCTCACCACCCAGCGTTGTGTTGTTCTTCCTCAGCTTTGTAGGGTGGTTACTGGACATTCTTATTTCTCTCTTCTACCCTTAATTAAAGGGGATGGGTGACAAAAAGCAGTGTGGCTGCTGCAGGAGGAGCAGCCTGACATTTTTCTTGATCGTTGGGGTTTGTTGCACCTTTTAAAACAGCTGAGATCCCTCAGGCAAACAGCAAGGAGCACGATGCCTGAAGAATGGCTGGTTCTCTGCTCTCCTACAGCATCTTCTGGATCTGCGTTGCTCCTGACACTGGTTTCAGCAAGGCAACCACCACTGCAGAATCAGAGGCAGCCAAATTCCACAGAGAGTGAGTGAGCAAAGGAAACTGATCTAGACACAGAAACCACAGCTCTGCTTTTAGTGGCTCAGGTTGTGTGTGTGTTCCAGAGCTGCATCCTCCCCACGTGGCTGGTAGCACAAGGGTACCTTCATCTCCCTAACCCTGCAGAAGTGCATTCCCTGCCCCTGCCCAGTGTCATCCTGGTGTCACCCTGCTCAGAGCACAAGGATGGGAACAGAGCCCATTTTCTTTTCCTATGTGCAAACCCCACCCACTGTGCTGGTGGTGCTGGCAAGTGCTAAAGGTTACAAAATCCATCTTTTTGCTAAGAAAGCAACTTAATTAATGTGAAAGTTTCTCTCGTGAAGGGAAAACCCGCAGCAGATATGCAGGGCACACTGCAGCTGGCTCCCCTCTTCCCTCCCAGCACCCCTCCCCAAACCACTTTAATTTCTCTGCCAATATTGGACAAATGTAACAGGCTGACTTTTTAATTTTCTACTCCCAGGTCTCCCTTGTCCCCTCATGCATTTTTCATCACAGCTCATGGCTCCCTCCCTGCCTGCCCTGTGAACAATATTGATCGACTGATTAAGCCATCAAGCCATGGCAAACAACTTTAATTTTCTAACCAAAGCCTTTTAGTTCTCTTCCCTTTCTTGGATGCTTGTTAGCTTACAAAGTTTTTAAGGTCTACTTGGAAACAAATGCATTGGTTTTAATTAGTCCCTAGGTTAATTGGGTGCTATGCACCACCAAGAGCAACCCACATCAAAACAGTAACCCTCAAAATGTTAAAAGAGAGAGAGGGAAGTGGTGGTACAGTCCTGATGAAAAAAAATTCCTGCTTCAGCTTTTGGAAAGCTGAGTTAAAGATGAGTTCTGGTGCTTTTCTCCTTTCTCCTTGGTCTCTCCCAGCAGCCTTAAATTTTACTGGGAAGAGAAGCAGCCCAGCACAGAGCACCCATGGACACACCTACAGCACTTTCTGGGTACCAGACTGGGCTTCTGCTGGTTCTTGGACCACAAATGAGTGTTCTCAGCTAAACCCACCAAAGGCTCATCAAGGTTGCACATGTACCACTGCCTGTGTGCTCTGGAAACCACACACGTTCCTGCAGGAATACGTGAGGCCCAGTTTGTCTTGCAGAACATTCTTAAGTGATGATGATGATGATGATAAAGTGAAAGGAGATTCATCTGACCTGAATCCCAGGGCTGGCAGGTGGGTAAATGCATCTTTCTTGCAAACTCAGTACAGGAGGTTTCAGTGAGGCTCGTCAGAGTCACTCTGTGGGTTTGCAAATTGCTTTTCAAGGTAAAAATGCAGCTTAAATATCAGGATATTTGTCTCTCTCTGGGAGCCTTAGAGCTCCGTGTTGTGCAGTGATGCTGCAGCCCTGCCTTAGCTGCTGGTCCTTCAGATAGCACTGAGCTGGGAGAGCACAAAGGGGTAACTGGATCTATCAAGGATCCTCATTCCCAGTGTGGGCTGGGCTGCTTGTCCTGGTGTCTCCAGATCTGTGAGTTACGAAGACAAGCAAAACCTTCCGAAGGAGCCAGGCCCCTCTCCACGCAGGGTCTGCATAAAGGTGAAGACAGACACCCCAGACATCTTCACAGCCCTGTCACTGCCCCATGACTGGTCTTTCTGCTTGTATTTAGTGGTTAATCAGTGGCTCCTTGCTCTGTACCAACACACAGAGCCAAGCTCCTGGAGGTGGGAGATGTGGCTTCATGAGCTCACAGCAAAG